TAGCTACTTACGCTTGTTTGTTTCAGTGAATTCAACCAACGCCTTTTCAAAAAGTATCATTAATACATTGTTCCATTTATTTGTTCCGTTCCATATGCAGCTAAATCAAATAGTAATATGGATTTACTGCAGTGCTACGGTGGATCTGGTGATTACAAAGGATACTGCAGCTGGATTGTAGATCAAAACGATTGGGGTAGATTTAAATGGCGTATGGATAAATTACCGTCAATGAATAACAATCAAATTGTTTCACAACAAGCTATGTGTTTGCATAGATCTGCTAGTCTTAAGACATCTGAAACGTTAACTTCTCGTTTATGGAGTCCATCCATCGGCATTGTAGATGAATCTTCATCGGAGAACGATGTAGATACTTCCATGAATCTCACAGTTGATTTACAACCACGTTGTGTTTCTTTTTCATTTCGTTTCTTTTACCCTCATATTGTTGCGTTCGGTCCATTATCGGAGGAAGTTCGGAGAGTGCCAAATCTTTCTGTTTTAAAACGTCAAAGAGGGTGAGGTGATACTTCGTTAGTTTGACTTTTTCGCTTTTTTCACTTTGTTTTGGAGCGACTTGGAAAAATTTATTTTAGTTTTCTTTGTTTATTTGTCTGTCGATCAGTATACTTTTTATATACATCACTTTAAGGTCATTTGTCCACACCGTTTCTTCTGAACTGCAACTTCACTGAACCGTGTTCATGGTCAATGGATCAAAATGACTGGGGCCAAGCGAGATGGAAGAAAGAAGTGTTACCTTCGAAAATGACAGGGTCATCAGCTCTTGGAGAAGATGTCCTTTGTTTTCAGACTCCAAGACAAAACGATTTCAATGAGGATCTGTTTGTGGGACGCTTGTGGAGTCCACCTGTTGTTTCGATATCTAGAAATCCTCGTCTAAATGATAAAATGAACGTTATAGATCTTAAATGCCTCACATTTTCATACAATATTTTCAGTGGTTACCCCAATATGCAAGTCAAGCAAGTTCCAAGTCTTGCTCTTTTAAAACGACAACGAGGGTATGCTTATATTACTAGCTATGGCAGTTGGATGTTTATTTACTAAATGGCATGTTGCAATTTGTTGTTCATTTTGAATTTTCCAAATCATGGTTCAATTTGTCATCCCTTCTTTATTATGAAACCAACTGTTCACTCTTTTTTATCCATTCATATTCGTCTGATTTATCTTATCTGATAATTTCTTGCAATTGGTTGAACAACTTATAAGTTAACCTGTAAACGTTATTAATGTTATTTGTTCACTCAACACAAAATTTATTTCTTAGAACTTTGTTGAGTTCAACTTAAACCAAAGTTCCCGCGATTTCTGGAGCTTTGCGATTATGATCTTTAGTGAGGTCATGAGTGCATACCAGTGAGAAGTTTTATACTAGGACGAAACATCTATCCATTACTCATTGATTTCTAATGGTTTTGTAACCCAAATTCAAAAGGTTCATTTACTTCGAGGCTTCTTTCTAGACTGGTTTCAAGCAGCTTAAAACTGAATATTGCGATGTACTGTATTGTATATGCTGTGAATTTCTTCGCAAATTTTACGTTAACTTACTTTCTTGGGGTCGTGGTGATTATCGTAATCGATATTTGGAGAAGTTGGTTAATATGTTTCCGAATCAGTTGCAATGGTGTTTATTCATCTACCCTTTCTTTTGAAATACTTATACTTCTTATTCCACAAACTCATTCTTCTCGAATCATGCTGTTTTTGTTTGATATTTTTTACTACTGATACTGTTACTACTTCCAATTCTCTGGAGTTTTTTATAATAATTTCATTTCATTGTACTGTTAGATGACTAACTGACCGATTTGGATTTTAAAGTTTGTCTAGGCTAGGTGTTTTAAATTTGTTGGTCAACTAGCTGAGTACTGGGCTCCTAAATCAGTGAATTATTGGTTCACGCTACTTATTTACTAGGCCACTACATATCGCATTCATAGAGTTACATTTAGACTTTGAAAGTGTTTCATAGTTATATTACTCCAATCATATATTTTCGAAGACAAGAATCAATCTCTTGTAGATAATTTTTCTTAGCATCAAAATGTATTTAGTTATGTATAGATGCATTTACTTCTTTATAAAGTTTTTGGAAAACTTTTTTTACTTCTATTGTTATTCTGCTCACAAACATTTAAATCTGATATTACTACTTGTATTTCCAGTCAGAATTCATCGTATTTTACTTGGGGGTAGGTAAAAGAAATTTAGGTAGTGTATTTGGCTAGCTAAATTCCTCTTATTCTAAATCAAATATGTATAGTAATTTAATATAAATGTAGGAATTTCAATTTAGGTCTAACTAGTACCGACTGCAATAATGTTTAGTTGGTGAATTTTCAGATAAAAAAATAAAGATTTCGAATTTGTTTATTATGTACAACCTTATCCTATGGATCCGAACTATTGAATTGTCTTAAGCTGTAATAGCACTTTCGTGAGAACGAAGTAGTGGCTCAGTGAGGAAATGTTATGTACGTGGGACCCATTGAATCAAAACTTTGTCGAATAGGAAACTGAACACTGGAACTAATCTTGAAATTCTTATAACCTTTATCGTTTCTAAATGTTTTCTGTGCCAACACTATCAAGAAATAATCTCATCCCTTTCCCACTGAATGACTGTCATTTCTTTCTTTTTTACAAACTTATCTGAAAAGAAACTATCATTCACAGCTTCTATCTTCTTATTTATTAAGGTTATTTGCTAATGGACCAGTCATTATCTTGTGATTTCGACAATATTTTAATACCTTTATGCAATTGGCAACATGATTTAAACGATTGGCGTGGACGATGGAAACATTGGATATCGCCTACTGATAATCATAATCAGTTAGGAGATAAACATTTATGTCTGGAGTTGAATAAAGAAGATTCTAATGATGATTTTACGGAGGCGAGTGACTTAACGGTTCGCCTATGGAGTCAGTTAATAAGAATCAAAAAATTATCTGAGCAACAAAAACCGAAGTGTTTAAGTTTATCTTATCATTTAGACAATGGTTTACTGCAAAACCCGACTGATGATCAGTCACAGCCTAAATTGTCTGTACTAATGCGTCGTGAAGGGTGAGATTATATATATATACCCACATGTACCTCTGTATAATCTATCCATCTAAATTATCTAGCTATTCTCTATCAATTTATTTAAATCTATACTTTTAATTTAGATTTTTTATTCCTATTCATCAAATTCTATACCCTAACCTCATAGTAAATAAAACTGCTTTTTCTAAATAACTATTCTATTTTGTCTCAACTGGTGATATTACACCAAAAGGAATTTCTTTAGTGTTTTTTTACATTCAAATTTATTTGCCCCATATTAGTTCAATTCTACGGCTTAAATCATTCCTTATTTCTGCACTTTCTCTTATAATACCCATCGGATTTTATAGTCAAAAAGTTCTTGATTATCAATCTTTCCACAGCTATTGTTGATTCATCATCTACGTATATGGTGCTTTCAGATCAATCAAAAGTGTTCAGTAATTATCAGTCTTACCAGTCACTATTGGATTGCAATTTTACTGATTCATCCATGTGTAAATGGTCTAATGACCAGAATAATTGGCCTGTTAACTGGGAGCTTGAATCAACTGATAGATTCAGTACAAGTGTTAATCAGGAAAGTTCTGGACTTATTTGTTTAGATGCAACTAAATCAATTCAACCGATGGATTTAAGTGCAAGACTTTTTAGTTCACTAATGAGCTCTACTTTCAATAACCTTTGTTTAAAATTAGTCTATACCATCGTCATTTCCAGCCTTACATCTAGTATGGATTCATCAGAAATTTTAACAGATGGAATTTCCACTATGCCTAAATTGTCATTATTACGTCGTCAAATGGGGTAAGACGTACTCTTTATTGGATGACTATGCTACTAATACCGCTACTACTTTTAAATTATTCAAGAGAAGAGTTGCAACAATGAATAATCTTGTTGATCTTTTAATTTATTCTACTTTTCTTTAGTATTCATTTTTAATACAACTCAACTATCATTAGCTACCAACTTCATTTCACAAAACTTCTCATCAAACATTTCATAAACTAATAAACATATTTACTTCATAACGTTTTCAGCTATTCAATTGATTGAATCATTGGATTATTCATCAGAAACGAATATGAATTTGGATTGTGAATTCAAGAAATCCACTTGTAATTGGGGTAATGATCAAAATAATTGGCCAGTAAATTGGAAACTGGTGATGATTGAGTCTGAAGACTTTTCAAAAAGTAGTGAAATATCAACTGTAGAAAGAAATTCTGTTTGTTTATCCTTACATGGAAAATCAAATAACCATCAGTCTGATCACGATATAACAGCTCGTTTATTCAGTCCAATCATATCAATTATGAAGCAACCAAGTTGTATACAGTTGATATATAACATACAATATGTTTCTGGTTCATTGAGAGATCATATTAGTTTGAGTGGAAGAGAATTGAATATGTACGGTGTTGATGATAGACTACCTAAATTATCGTTATTACGTCGTCAAATGGGGTGAGGAAATAAAATGAAGTTGTTTACTCATCGGTTTCACGCTAACCTTTTTCTAACAATAATGGGTTTTACCAAGTCTCGATTAAATCACCGTTGGAAGAATGCTGTATTATTTTATTTGTTGTTGTTTCTGAATTGTATAACATCCTGGTGATTGAAAAATTCAATGAAGCAGTGTTTCGACCTATTGATTTGTACTTATTTATTTGTGAATTTGGCTAACCAATGGCTGACAGTCTACATTTATTTTTGTGCAGTCCACTTTCTTCCCACTTACTATGTTTTATTGGGTTCATTCTGCAAATTCATTGATGCTTTACTGACAAATCTTGCTCTATTTACTTTTGTTGTTTTCTTGTTAAAGCTAAGCGGCTTGGTCATTTTTTTCTGTATTTGGTTTCTAACTCGATCTCAGTGTTCTTCTCTGTACATCTTTGTTATAGGAACCAATTTCCCTAAATTTAAAAGTCAAGAGTATGAAAATGTGCCTCAACCTAATTGGAATAATCTGTTATATTGTGATTTTGATGATGCTAAAATGGAATTTTGTCACTGGCAAGGTGATCCAAGAAATGACAAAGCTCACTGGAAGCATGAACATATGACTACGGATTTAAATAATGGAATAATATGTCTGCAACCAAGAATTATGCACAATTATCGTCTTCGAAAAATATATGGTGTTCAACAGAATTCTCTAACAGCACGTTTGTGGAGTGAAACAGTCGAACCTGTTAGTACTTCTAATGAAAACAGTGATTACATGGAATATTCCTTGAACAATCCTCAAAATAATTTACGTTGTATTCAGTTTCAGTATAAAATCCAGTTACACGATTCTAATGTCGACCCGTCTAATAGTAACTCAGTTGATGATTCGCTTATAAATCTAAGCCTTCTGAAACATTCTACTGGGTGAGGAATTTCAAGACTACTCATAACGACTCAAACGAATACCTATTTGTCTTCTTTATTTTCAGTTCGTATTTTCGTTTCTGTTTAGGAAGTCCACAAAACTGCTGTGCTTTAGTCCGAATGTTTTAGAAAATAACTCATAAGGCTTCCCAGCTTAAGGAATTCTCAACTGATGATATATTAATTTAGTGATATTAGATCATATGACTGATTGTGATTTGGTTACCAAAATTAAAATGCATTGAAGAGTCAATTACTAATTACATTACATATGTATTTTTGAAGGTTACATTATTTTTGCCTCTTGCCTGCATCATACATTTCATATTTTTCTTCTCAGATATTCAAGTTGGTTTGTGTAACTTGATTCCTGGCCTAGATCCAGTGAATTGCACTTATGAACAAAAAAACTTGTGTAAATGGAAAGATGATCCACGTGATGAAATGGCGTCATGGAAAGTCTACTACTTCTCTGACTACCATACACATGCTATGTGTATGCAGTTGAACAAGATATTTTTTCCATCCAAGACACCTAGTCGATCAATCTTACCAACTGTGGCCGTTCAATCACTTCATCAATTTTCAGCCCGTTTGTGGAGTGGTCATGTGTTTCATGATCCTGACAATTCAATAAAGTGCTTAAGTTTTCAGTTTATGACCACCACTAAACATATTGCCAAAACAAGGCTTACTTTAATGAAGCATTCTTCTGGGTAAGAAATATTCGCCTGAATAGAAGGAAAATGAGTTCTTCATCTTTCAACTCATTTTATTTCTAATTTTCATAATACACGAAAAATACGTCATATTTTCCCTCCTATGTTTCTTCCGGGTCGCTCACACTTTCATTCTAAATGTGGATTCAAACGGACTAATTCTAGGTTCCCAAATATAATAGCAACTGCTCCAAAGTCATTCAGTTCCTAAAGTTGGAGATATACTAGTGATGCAGCAATCTGGTGCTTCAGTTCAGCTTGAAAATTACATTTGTTGCTGTCATCCTATTTTCATTGTACAAAGTCTCTTCAGGAATCATCAGCTGCTATCTGTTTCAATGATTTATAATTTATTTTATTATTCAAGCCTTCCTTTTTCTCATCTCTTTTGCTTATTCTCCTTCCATTAGAGACGGCTTGGTTTTGACTATGTATCTATTAGTTACGGTTAATCTCAATAATGTTCACTAAGGTTTCATCATCTGTTGAATTTTATAGGTGTAGTATCTCGCCGCCCGGATATTCGGTATTTAAATGACCCTGTCAACTGTAGTTTTGAAGAAGGCAACTTCTGTGGTTGGAATGATGATCCTAGAGATGTTTTAGCCTGGTGGCAGGTGATATACCTTTCTAAATTTCATACACATGCTGCTTGCCTACATTTGAGTACTAGTCCATTTTTTGTGGAGTCTGGAGATAAGTTGATTGTAGAAGGTTCAGCTCGTTTATGGAGTGGTCAAGTGCGTTCGCATCCAACAAATAGGATACAGTGTCTTGGTTTTAAATATATCGTCTTATTTAATAAGCATCTTCCTCACGTACGTTTGACTCTTATGAAACATTCTACAGGGTAAGCTGCTTTTTGTTACTTATTAACGTCTGTTTGTGGGTATAGCGGTTTTAGATAAATTATTAATTTGTCTGTAGTTAATAATACTTGTGACTGGATTATTCACGTCAGTTATTGCAAATAAATCAAAGAATCATCTCTCTTTTCTAAAAAAAACTGGATTAGTTTTTTTAATAAACTGAATACCTTCAAAATATAATCTAAAACTGAAAACTCACCTGATTTCCAAGTTTATTGGTTCTTTATCTACTTTAGATCCTTGACTTATAATTGGACAATTATGCCGATTTTGATTGGTGAATTTTAGAATAATAAGGTTACCAATCAAAGTGAATTATGAAATCCGCCTACATCCTTTCTAAATTCATTTTCTATTTCCATTTATTATACCTTCATTTTTAACTTACCTTTTGAAATTCGGCTTGGCTTCAGTATTGTGCACGATTGTTGATTTTGATGATTTATCAGTGAAATATTCTTATCTTTTCTACCAAAATAAAGAGATTGACTTGAATCAACTTTATTTTCAGTTGCATTATTAATTCGACCAAAGCCCAAACTTATACGTAATCCTTTAAATTGTACTTATGAAGATGGAACATTATGTGGATGGAATATGGATCCAAGAGATGTGTTGGTTTTGTGGCAAGTGGTGGATGTACCTAATTACAAGACAAAAGCCATGTGTCTTTTACCGAATCCAGATTTATCACTTTATCAAGATGTTTCTGATTTGAAATTTAAGACAGATATTTCAGCTCGCCTATGGAGTGGTCACGTTCGTGTTAGCAAGCAACTAAAAGATCATGAGATACAATGCCTGCAGTTCACCTATTTCATACCACCAAAAATAACGCCTAAAGGTCGACTAACAATTATGAGACATTCAGATGGGTAAGATCTGTTATTCTTATCAAGTCCTACTCTATACTCATACTGCAGTTTGGTAATTATCTGCTCAGTAAAATTTATATGAATCAGCAAGAAAATACATTATTAGTCATAAAAATCTATCATGGTTTTCGGTTAGCAATATCGTCTTTACTATGCAAACGAAACAACGTTTCAATAATCTCTAGAGATTTCACGGCAATGATTTTGTGATTGTTAAGAAAACTTGTTGTTATCTTCATTTTGATTCAAAACAGACGCAACAACAAATGTTCACATGGAATTGTATTTGAATCACGAGAGTATGTTATATGAAGAAAGTATGTAGACATTGTAAAAAGTGAGTAAAAAAGCAAATGATGAACGGAGTCATCTTCAATCATTTTACAGATACTTATTATTGTATTGTGTTTGAAGAAATTCTCAATTCAACTAATTATTGGATTCTTTCTACTGGAAAATTGGATGATTATCTTCAGTTTTGTTCCAGGCGTGTTTCAAATGTAGAATATGCGGTGATGACTAACAACTCTACGATACAACAGCTTTGTCTGTTCCTAACCCTTCATCCCAGCTACTCCAAAAGACTAATCTTATTGTATGAGACCAAAAGGACTGGATTTGCATCAAAGCTAATTCATTTACATATTGATTCAGTGACTATAAATTACAGAATTATATTAAATGAGTGATTGTCATAAATTAAGTAATCATAGTGAAAATCAACTAACTAACACGCAGTGAAAGTTATTGAATAAAACTGTCAAAAGTGAGAGTTGCATTTAATGGAAACTCATCCTAAATCGATCGGTATACAAAAACAAAGTTTGATTTTCTTTCTCATGGAGATATAATATGGCTAACAATTGGATGGTTGGAATAACTGTCGTCTATATTTATTCTTTTTATTACCTTTTCATTTCTATTCCTTAAAATGAACCAGTGTTCGGTTAAATTAATGGTACTTACTATATAGTTAGACGAAAAATTCCATTTATTCCAACTTTTATAATTCTAAAGTGTTTCACATGAAAATGTGCCAACATCAAATTAGTGTGTTTAGTAAATACCTACATTCTGTCATCCTCATAAAATGCATATCATTAGCCAATTAAATAAACCTTAGCTTTATCACACATTGATGTAATTCATTCATGCTGATAATGGTGATAAATGTTATTATTCTTGAGATTTGAACAATTTTTATTTTTATTACTCAATATCGGTTTATAGTGTTATCTTCATTTGATCGTTATGATAAATATAAAAAGCAGCACTGAAGTTCATCGGATTAGTTTTTGTCTGACCAAATGACTAGGAGTCGTTGGCTAACCGTCTTTTTTGACTTTGATAACTTTATTTCATCTTGATAGTTACCGCTCCACCAAAATAACTCATGTTTTCTCAGGTCGGATTATCTGACTGGATATACTTAGGGGCATTTAAGATATTTGTACTGTTATGTAATTTTATCCAAGTTTCTTCCTCGTTAATGTGCAACAGCTCAATTTAAAGCAGTAAACTAATTAAGTAATTCTTAAACTTATAATTGTACAGCTTATCTTCCTCTTATCTCTTATTCAAATTCACTTTTATTTCCTTTGGGCGGCTTGAATTAATGTGATCTGAAGGTTTTCTTTAAACTTTATTACCTTTGTATCTTGCTTAATTGATTAAAGGCTATGAAAAGCGTTTCAATGGACATTCATCTCCCATTTCGCCTGCGAATTGTGATTTTGAAAAATTTGGAATGTGCCGTTGGATGCCCGACCCACGAAATAGTGAAGCCCATTGGCGAATTGAACATTCAAAAACTAAGCATGGTTTAGTGAATGGGATTCTTTGTATGTCTTTATCTGCATTTCAAGGGGATCCTGAAAAAACAGAGAAATCGATTCCATTTGAAATCGATACTAGTTCCGCAGATGTTTATTCTGGACGACTTTGGAGTGATAAGTTTCATCGTCTGAAATCGCATATCGATTATCAATGCTTAGAGTTGTCTTACATGATTGAGAGTAAAAACAAACAGACAATACAGCCAACCACAGTAAATTACAGTCGATATATCCCTCAGCTCACTCTCCTTCGACATTCTTCAGGGTAAGATTGGAGGAGATGCTTATCATTCGGCAGTTTCATTTTTGGTTTGTTCGAAGTGTTTTCATGTGTTCTACGCATTATTATGAGTATCAGTCTCTGGATTTCATCATTAATGAAGGGTTCTTTTGTTGTGTTAAATCAGAATTCTTGTCCGTCAATCTGTGTACTGGTTATTAGTACATATGTTCCCACTCTTGTCATCTATGTGCAACGGCCCAGTTCAACTGATGGTTGGATCCAAGGAAAACGTCTTGAAGTATAACCATTCATCATATTGAATGACGGGGTCCGAAATTCACCAACCTTGCGACGGAATCGCAACTTGTTATTCTGCCATCCTAATAAGATTAGTTTACTTCATAGTCTTCATTCGAGTAATATGTAATAAAAGAACATCCTGCAGGAAAAAAATCAATGCCATTCTTCACTGTAACTTC